TGTTTTCACTGTAATTGTTGGATCTTGCAATTGAACTACAGCAGAAGGTAGACACAAGGAGTAAATTAGTAGACGAAGTGTTTATATGCAACACATCTGCAGGTTCATGTGGTGGCTTTGTCGGAAAATCTATCAACTCAAGCAAGATGCGTCTTTCCTATTCAAGAATCGTCACAAACAGTTTACGGGCCTTCATTGAAGGTTATAGTTTCAATAGTTGTAAACTTGTAATGGGAAAACATAACAAGTTCAGCTGGAAACTAAAACACAATCGTAATCCGAAATTGATGTGTATCATGTGTGTTTGTTGGTTAATTAAAAGTTTGGCGGATTTTGTTGGTAGTATTGCACTTTATACCTGGAGAGTTTGCCTTTGTAGGATACTCGCAAACAGACAATCGGCTGCACGTTCCAAAGAGAGAAAAACACGCTACACGTGCGAGCTCGAGAGGAAAGTGCAGACTTTGCAGAATGAAGCAACCACGCTTTCGGCTCAAATTACAGTGTTGCAGGTACACACATTGCTCGATTTTTTTTATGCTTGTAATGATTGTTGTGCTGGACTGTAGCTCGGTTGTTTAGACAATTTCACTTATAACATCTCAATTGGGGGCGCTGTATTTGATACCTATATGATATACGTGGCACTGAACTACAGAAGAGATGGGATATTTTTTTAGTACTTGAAATTTCATTGCATATATGTCCTCATGTAGACTTCTGGAGGATTTCGACTATGCTAAACTAGGGTGATGATGGGTCAATTGCTAAAAACCTCCAAGTATGTAGATGCTCTTCCCACAAATTATTTGATGATAGGATTTTTGTTTTGATAAGTGATGTTGGGAATTGAACATCGAATTGACCTTTATATTCAGTCATTTTTTTTCAAGAACTGAGTTGACCGTGGGAGTTGAATGCCAAAAACGTGTAGCCAATGGTCGAATAGGGATGTAATAATAATTTATTGCCGTGGGAGTAGAGTGCCAAAAAGATGTAGCATATGATCGAATAGGGATGTAATTCTAACGTTTAATTTTACCCCCTTACCTGAAATTAAGGATTACCTGAAAAATGTACCTATGCACATTGTCTTTCCACAAACTTTGTAAACTATGCACACATTCTAATTCTTTTGTGTGCTGGAGAACACTTACTCTGCTATTAAATTAATGAAATTATTTTGTAATGTGTCGTGTATTTTCAGAGAGATACTAACGGCTTGACTTCCGAGAACAAGGAACTCAAGCTCAAGTTACAGGCCATGGAGCAACAAGCACACCTTAGAGAGGGTAAGTGATTCTTCTATTCTTTCTAGTGATGATTACAAAATACCCTGTCGAAATAAAAACCTCAAAGGTATTTGTAACTTTCAAAATATATCTGTAAACCTCCCAAGGTAATTTTTTGTAGTTCTCCCAGGTAATTCATGCTTTCTTGTTACAATTTTCTGCACGGCATTAGTTTCATATTCTTATGGTCAATAAATAATCTTAATATGAACAATGCCACAATAATTCACATGATTGCTTTTTTTCTAGCTTTAAATGAGGCATTGAAGAATGAACTTCAGTGGCTAAAGGTTGCGGCTGGCCAAGTTCCGAATGGAAATATGAGCCCTGCTGGCCCAGCTCGTTTTGGCCCGACTTCCCAATTTCCTCCTTCGGCTCATTTCTTTGAAAACCAACATCAACAGCAGCAGTTTCAAACACCCAATTCCGGCCTTAACAACCCTAGTTCCGGCAGGCAAGCCCGACTTAGTTCCCAGGACTTTAATCGGAAGGCTTAATTATTTATTGAAGTCCCTGTGTTTGTAGAAACAATCAAAGGTTCACCCCACTAGGCTTATTGTATATATAGGTGAAAAAGAATTTACACACATTCTGCAGTTTGAAGTTATGATGACTCTTTATATGTTTTTTCTACAGAGGGTGTAAAGAATATGAGATGTGGTCTATATTTATTTTTACTTTGGGTTATGTGATAGGTGTATATCAGAGTGTGTGTGTGTGTGTGTGTGTTTTGAAGAGCACACAAATGGATGTGCATGCACTTAATTTATGAGAAACTAGTGCCCATTAAATTCTTGATAAAATAAATAGTTTAATTCATAAACTAATATATGCTGATTGCTGAATTTAGGTCCTAGTAGCACATAAAATTAGAAAATAACTAGTTCCCATAAAATTCTTAATCAACAATATTTTTTTCTTTACAGAACAATAGATTTCATTAATAAAAACTCATAATTACAAACGGCAACCAATCGACTTTCAGCTGTTTAGCTGAATTCAGAGAGGTTTAGCCGAATTCAGAGAGAAGACTATGCGACGAGAACGCCTGTAGCATAGAAACTATTATACTAACCACACTCACAAACTATAAAAGTAGTAATGTAAGCTTCCACAAGTGAAGAAATTGAACTCCCATAAATAGAATAAAGAACATCACTACTGCCCAAATGAGAGGCCAAAAAAAAATTAACACAAACACCAACTAGAACTAAACACACTAAAACTAGAACAAAGTCCTCCCAGCCAGCAAACTAAAGTATAAAGTTGATACATATCAAATTCAGGTGAACAATCAAACAACACACATTGAATAGCAAAAGTCTATGAACCTACACTCGCCACCATCCACTTAATAATATCCCTACCCAATACTACTGCTACTTATATCTCCTCATATATCTCTTCACTTGTGGGCATCACAACAACAGTTCTCCCTCCCAATATCCTCCGCCAGGCACGGCGGCCGAGCACTCCCATCCCTATACCAAACCAATCTCCCCTCAATCAACTCACTCAGAAAACGATCCAATTTCTCAACCGTCACACTCGGCATCACAACCACATGAGCCATATTCCCCTCGCACGCCAGCTGCCAACGCCGCACAAACTCCTCATCACAAGGCCTCTCGAAAACAACTGTACTGCTGAGCTCGTTGAGCATGGCACTAATACCCGCCTGAATGAGATGGTCTTTGAGATAATGCGCGTTTCGAAGGCATTTCTGGACTTCCTTCTGGAAGCCTTTGTAGCCCTTGCGGTTGAGAGTGTACCAGAGGAAGATTGGGGCGTGACCGTTTCGGCTGCCCATGATTGTGGCGTCTCGGGAGGCGAGGTATTCCACGTTGCTCGAGAGGGAGTTGATGTGTTTGAGGCGGGTGAGCTGGACCCCACAAGGCATGGGGCAGCCCACGAACTTGTGGCCCGACACGCTGACGCTGCCGATGGGCTTCATGAACGAGACTTTCGGGGCCTGGGAGTTGGAAAAGAATGGTATGGTTAGTTGTTAGTGGGATTTTCAATTTTGAGTTTATATTAAAATAATATATAAAATAAAAAAATTAAAGTTGATTTTATGTACAAAGTAGGAAATAGATTGATCTGAAGTGATGGTTAGTTAAAAATTAAAGTTGATTTGATGTAATTCGGGTTAAAGAAAGTGATTGGTTAAAAATGATTGGATCTTTTTAGGGATAACTTGTATCAAAGCATCCTCTTAGCGTTTTAGCAAAGATTTGCATAGTAAATTGCTGTACTAGCAAATTCAGGGGCTATAATTCATGTTTTGACTCTTTTCAACTTTGAATTTTTTACAAAGGAAAGAGATGCGCGCAGTTATCAATCACAATTGAAATTCGACTTTGGATTTTACGAATAGTCACTTGAAATTCAGATTTGGTTGAACAAATATGTCACTTTATGGTGTGATTTCTAGGATATAAATAGATAACAGGGGGGGAGGTATTAGACTAAAAGCTAGAGGCTTCATGTTGACCAACTAGCCTGATATATGTAGAAATTTTGTGCGGTGATGCCTATTTTCCATCAATGGCTTCTTTTTTCGGTTATATACTTCGAGTGCCACGTGAGTTTATGCAAGATGTGATCAAACTTATTGTATGTTAGAGATAAAGCAATTTTAGAAATCACAAATTCAGCCACTCGAGGATAAATACACACGATGAATATTTAATTTAAAAGAAGGCAGGGTAGAATACCTTTTTTACAAAGGGCATCATAAGCCCGAAAAGGGCGCCATCACAATGGATGTAGAACCTATCGTGAGAAAATCCACATTCCTCGAGTGTCTGTATAACAAGATCGAGATCATCAACAGCCCCTTTCACAGTAGTTCCTGCAATTCGGGTGATATAAATTGAAAAACTTAAAAATGTCTCCCAAATGTATTTGAAGTTGGAAGCAATATTTCTGAGTCTTACATAGCTCAAGGACACTTGTTGGTCTAGTAAGCATAATAACTACAATTCACATTAAACAGGCGCAGACGAAAGAATTACCGATGTTGACATTGATGATAGCTGGTTTATCCTTATTAGAAAGAAGCGCGTTTTTAAAATCCGTGCAGTCAATCTCTCCAGTGATCAAAGTTGCAACTTTTACACAGTCCATTCTGTACATTCTTGCAGCTTTGAACACAGAGTAATGGGACTCCTTCGAAGCATATAAAATTCCATCGGGAAACACCTCTCTCCTGTTTCATTATAACAAAATTAACATTAAATTTAGTTAAACAAACAAAAATGAAATCAGTCAATCAAATTATGGACCGCTAGATGACAAAGCAAATAATGCTACTACCCAACAAGGATGCCGTGAAGGTTTCCCTCAGTTCCACAGTTTGTTATGTATCCCCAGTAATCATTCTTTTCAATTTCCCAAAGGCGGGCAAACCAATCCAGAACACCCACTTCAAATTGTCTCGAGTGCACGCCATAATTGCTTTCAATGAAAGGATCTCCAAGGTTGTTAATTGAGAAATGCTGCAATTGGGCAAGTGCACCATAGTCAAAATCCAAATTGTACGGATATCCNAAAGATTAATAGTCAGACACAATCAAATTCTGATAACAAGCAGTTCCATGAAAACAAGTTCATCTAGATACTTGAGCAAAAGCTCAATAACATTTCAGAAGCTAATCAGCTGATGCACAAATTCATAATTCATAAGTTAACCATGTAAAACAATTAACAATTAAGGTCTGAGAATAACCGCCTCGAAATTAATAACACAAGAGACAAAGAGATGCCAGCAAAAGTTACAACACAGTCAGTACCATTGGATGCAAACTAGAAAAAGCATTAATTATCAATGCCAGCCCACATCCAACCTTACAAAAAAGATTTTTCCTTGAAGTGCTCAAAAAATTAAAATATAAAACATCTCTTTCTAACTTTGAAGCACCACCTACTTCATACAGAATCAGAAAGAAACAGATTAAATCATGTCTTGTACAAAATGTAACGAAAACTTGAAAACAATAGAAGTCCGCACCAATTTATCTGGAAATAGGGGCATCAGCTATCAAAACCTTTTTAAAACAGACAGGTTATCTACAGAGGGATTAATTAAACTTCTAAGCAGCAACCCAATCCTTTAAGGACTGACCATAAATTTTCATTTCACAACAGAGAGAACGACTAAGCTACGAAAACAGAGGTTATTGCGCAGGGCATATAAATAGACCAATAAGTTGATACATCATCATATCTCTAAACTTGCGCATGGCTCGCTGTCGCTAGTTTAGAGGTAAATAATACACAACACAATCCTAGACCAGTTTGTGCACAGTTTTCCACATACGCTATCCATCACCATAGTACTTAACTTTGACATTGCTCATTGCCACTAATAACATGAAAACCCTTCACTAAACCAGGTGGCGTGAAACGTCCACATTAGATTCTGAACCAGATGTTGAAAAAAATAAAATCTTTTGAGGTCAGCAATGCAGACAAGACACTCCTAAACCGTTCTGTATTCATCTTCCACATAAATATCACACGCACACCCAAAAAAGGTGAATATTTTCCACACCTTGCTACCTATTTAACAAAACAAGCCATTACACTCTATTAATTTTCATAAAATCGTGCAAGATGTAAATGAACACCGGAAAAAGGCCAGGCCTTTCACCATCAAACGCTTAGTTTACATGTACCTCAAATCACATCACGACACATTCCATTACCCAAACAAACCCAAAAATCGATTAGAACAGCCCACGAATCCTCAAACCCGTCAACACCAAAACACAGATCAGAACACAACCAACACACACATCATACCTAAATGGTGCTTGGTACGCTCCATGAGCGTCTTGCGGTACCTCGCCAGAACACTGGCCATGTACGCGTCCTTATCGCCGGTGGAGTCGTCGTCCGCTTCTGGCTCCGTCACCTCCAGCGACATGGTGTGCACATTCCTCCCCAGAACTATCTCCCGCACCTTCTCCCCAACCTCACCGTTCGATTGGACAACCTGCGGCACCGGTTCCGCCACCACCGCCGCCGGATCGAAAGATTCCCCGTCCGCTATGGTCAGATGCTCCGTCGATTTTCCGTAAAGCACAGATTCCTCGGACGACATCGTTGCGCTTCCAACCATCGTTCTCTGGCTAGTTTAGTTCGAATCAAAACGTATGAAAGCAAATATAAACACCATTGTACAGTTGTACTGAAAAAATTAAAACGGAAAAAAAAAACGGAATAACGGAAAAGGGATAAAATGCTGAAAAAATGGAATTACCTGTAGAAAAATATGGAGATGACTAACTGAAAATGAAGAAAAATCGGCCGCTGTGTGGGGCGGGGATTAGCGGAGACGAGGAGGTGAACGGTGCTAATAAGCTAAAACGTGTATGTGGGGTATGGTGTGCGACTGTGTGTACCTATATAGAAAGATGTAGCTGGTGAAGTTAAATACTAAAATACATGACTTTACATATTTTTTTAATTTGAGATTTTATTTTTCTAAATAATTATAAAATCAATTTTGACAAATGCCAATAAATTAAATGAATAGTGAATCATGTAAGGAAAATGTTAACTTTACAACTATGAAATCAAAATATTCTCACTAATGCACAATGTGGTCTAACTACAATATTATCTTCTTACCTAAAATTAAAAAAAATAAATAGAATAAATAAAATTAGTTAAATAATTAGATAGTTTGAAATTGGTAAGAATATTTCACTCTCATTCATTTGTTGGTTAGTTAGAGTGTAAAGAAAAATGTGGATATTCACATTATTTGCTACGTTGTAGACATAATTATATCCACATTGTCACAACATTTGTGATCACATTGTATATTAGAGAATGAATAATTGTAAATTTAACAAATGTGTTGATGAGGAATGTATAATTTACCACAATAATATTTGAACACTGAAAATGTTGTAAGTATACTTGATATTCAAAACGAGTTGTTTACGAACATCTCAATTATGATATTGAAAGCTCAAAGCTCGAACAACGTAAGGAGCAGGTCCAACGAGCCTAGTGGAGCTCATTCACGAAATGCTCATTTATTTTTTTATGTTTGAACCGAACAACATAGCCGAACATGTTGACGAATGTAATGGTGTATTTACGAAAAACTCATTTACGATTTTAGGATTGTTAAGTGCGGAGGTTTTGACTCGTTTATTAAACGAGCATGCACTCCAACACGAAGTATTCTGCTCGCTTGAATTGACGCTTGATAGATAATATACGTTTTATTATATTTAATTAATTTTAAAAATACTTAAAATGAAAGTTACAACATAAAAAGATGGCCCCCGGGGCATGTAGTCAAGCGGTTTCCACTGGAGGGTGAAACTCCTGTTGAAGGTGGAGGTCGGGGGATCGAACCCGACTATCGTTGGGGAAATGGAGTTGGGGCATGCCATTTACTCCTGGGTGGATTAGTCCCACCCCTTTGGGTGTGGATCCTGAGCCCGAGCGACCCCGTAGCTGTGGTTAGCCGGCCACCGGTTGGTGAGGTCCTCTGGGCGTAGGGACATAGGGTCGGGTGAGGCCCCGAAGTGAATGTGGGGATACCATCCAGACAGGAAAAAAAAAACATAAAAAGATGAATCAATCTGCAAAAAAAATGGTTTTACATTACATGCAAACTAAATTGTTTCTTGAAAAAATAAACATCACATGTGGCAAACTTTAACAACAAATGAATGGAACCAAACCACTTGATATTATTTAATGTGCCAATTGTTTCCCACATTGAAATTAGGACCAGTGTGACTGTGTTACCCACGTAGGCTTGTGTAATTAAATGAAATTATTAAATAGGTACAAGAAATATCCTATTATAGAAATTTATTTCATTTTTATAGGAAAATAAGGTTGAAAGATGAATATTCAATAGTAACAACGTGCGGATAAGCTCAGATTCGAGTGGGCAACTGGGCACTCAGAATCACGAGCTGACAAATTGGTCCACATATTTTTTTTACCGATTTTTGAATCAGGTAACTCAAAGTCCCTCTCTTAGGGTTTCCGTCTCCCTTTGGAGTTCTTAGTTCCTGGAATAGGATTTAGGGTTCTTAGATTTTCTTGGTCGATTTGTTCAGTGTCTTTGTTTTCTTTCGGTCGTCCCTTTTGTATGTTCGCTTCTTTGTTGTCTTGTTTGTCTTTTCTTTTGTTTTCTTTACCTCTCTTTCAATTGCTGTGCTAGTGCGATTTACAGGGGATCTAGAGTTTGGATCAGATTGCTGCAATGGAAGACGAAGTGACAGCTCAATTACAGCGATTTCTTCTCTCGGATAGGGAGGAGACAGGAGTCATCTTGTCAAACACAGATATCGCTATCGGAGTGCAAGATTGTTCTCTGAGTCTGATTGGCAAAGTGTATGGGGAGAGGAAAGTTAACTTCGGAGGGTTAAAGATTACTCTGGGTAGTATTTGGGTTACGAAACAACCTGTGAATATTAGAAATCTGGGGAATAACACGTTTCAGTTCATATTTGGTTGCGAGGAGGATAAGGAAAAGATACTGCAAGGCAAAACGTGGACTTTTGATGGTCAGTATCTCTTATTGAAGGCCTGGAATCCGGAGAAGACAGAGTTCTCTGAAGAGGAGGAGAAAGTGAAGTTATGGGTGCAACTGGTGAATTTGCCACTACATTGGATATCAGCTGAAGTAGGATTCAAGGTAGGGAAGCTAATCGGCCAGGTGCATGATGTGCTACTGCCTGGTGCAGGAATTAAGCAAGGCAGCATTATTAAAGTGCTGGTGGAGCAGAAATTGAATGAGCCATTACTTCGAGGGGCCAAAATTACTTTCAGTAGTGACACAAAATGGATTGATTTCAGGTATGAGCAATTGCAAAGTTTTTGTTTCTACTGTGGCAGAATTGGACATGGAGACAGGAATTGTCAAAAGAGAAAGGAAGATGTGAGCAGGAATATGTTGAATCTAGGGCAATTTGGTGATTGGATTAGAGCTCCTGTGGGTAGTAGTACTGAGGGTAGAAGCCATAAGAATACTTCTACTGATAGCCAGCCTTCAGGAAGTCCTTTTTCTAGACCTCAGAGTCCAACTCCAGAAGGGGGGGAGAGTAGGTTAGAAGGAAAGTCTTTGGGTTCTTCTAGTAAAGTTGGGGGGATAGGGGAAGGTAAGGAAGTTGCTTTAAGTAATCCTTCTGTTCAAGTGAGTCCCAAACTTGTGGACAGATCTGAGATTGAAGGGAGTACCACTGTTCCTGAACTAGCTCCATCTATGCCTACTCCACATCTCACAATTAGTGAGCTTGTGGAGGTGGATGTGCAAGATGAGCAGCCTAGTAAGGGAGGAAAAAAGGCTCAAAGGGGTTTTGTGAGAAAAGCCAGAACTACTAAACCAATAGGTGACGGTATGCAGGTTGATAGTGTAGGTGTGTCTTTTAAGGATTGTGAGGGTAGGCAGAATTTAAAAAGAAGTATAGTCCATGAGGCAGAAAGTGGAGATTTAATCACTGAGAGTCTAGCTAAAAGGCTTAGAGGCAGTCATAAAGGGAAAGAAGTCATGGGGGAGGAGGCCAACCCTAATTGGCCCCCAACACCCCAATGAAAGTATGTGTGTGGAATTGTAGAGGTCTGGGAGGGCCCTCTACAATTTCCCAAATCAGAGAGATGTTAAGATCTCATCTTCCAGATTTTCTGTTTCTTTCAGAAACAAAAAAAAAGAATAATTTTGTTAATACAGTAGCTAATAGGTTAAAGTTAGGGGAGAATTGGACTAGTGTTGATCCTGTGGGTTATAGAGGGGGACTGTTCCTTTGTTGGTCCCCCAATATTACTATTTTGCAGATGCACTGTTTTGATTTTTGTATTGAAGTGCAATTTCTTGTTGGTAGTTGTAGTACATCTCAATGGGCTATCTTTATTTATGCAAGTACTGATAATACCATGAGATTACTACAGTGGGAGTTTTTGTTGAGGCATAAGTTCTCTTGGGGAGATCAGTGGTTTATAGGGGGAGACTTTAATGATATCATGAGCAGTGATGAGAAGAAAGGGGGGATGATTAGGGAGGAGTCAAGTTTTGATGATTTTAGGAATTTTGTGAGAGGGATAAATGGGTTGGAGCCTAAGACTGTAGGGCATCCTTTTACTTGGTCAAACCTTAGAAAAGGGAATGACTTTGTAGAAGAGAAGCTAGATAGATTTATCCTTTCTCCTAGTTGGGCTCTCCACTCACCAAATGCTCTAGTGAAACATGTTCCTCTCACATCTTCAGACCACAGCTTGATTATGTTGATTCAAAATCCTGAGGTGGAACAGGGCAGGAAAAGGTTTTCTTTTGATAGTAGATGGGCCAGACAGGAGGGTTTCAAAGAATTGGTGGATACAGCATGGAATGATGAGGTTAGTGGGCCTGCTCTGATCAGATTGCAGAAGAGGATAAGAAATGTTAGGATTGCCCTTCAGAAGTGGAAACCATCTCTGAAAACAAACTCAGCTAAAAGAATAGAGGAGTGCAAACAGAAGCTAACAGAGCTGAGTAGTCAAGGGGGTGATAGGAGTTGGGATGAATGGAATAAATATAAGGAAATTTTGAATCAGGCTTACAAAGATGAGGAGCTTTATTGGAAGGTTAAGTCCAGAGTTAGTTGGCTGAAGGAAGGGGACAGAAATACAAAGTTTTTTCAAGCTAGTGTTAAACAACGAAATCAGATCAATAGCTTGGATAACTTGGTGACTTCTGAAGGGGTGAAATGTATGAATATCCAGGAGACAGTGGATGAGGTCCAACAATATTTTGATAACCTGTTTAAGTCATCAAATCCCGAGGTGACCAGATGTAATCTGCGCGGCATTCCAATGACAATTACAGAAGAAATGAACTCTCAGCTCACAAAGCCAGTGGATGAAGAAGAAGTAAAAATGGCTGTTATGGAAATGGATCCACACAAAGCACCTGGAGTGGATGGAATGTCACCAGCTTTTTTTCAAAGCTCTTGGTCAACTGTTAAACAGCAGCTATGTGCAGCAATTGAAAATTTCTTTCAGTTTGGTAAACTCCCTTCTCAAATCAACCATACTTTAATTTCTTTGATTCCTAAGAAAAAGCATGCTTCTTCTGTGGCTGACTTTAGGCCTATTAGTTTGTGTACAGTGTCTTATAGAATCATTGCAAAAATTCTTGCTAATAGGCTTAAGTCTGTTTTACATGTTTGTATTTCTCCAACTCAGTCAGCTTTTATTCCAGGTAGGCAAATTCTGGATAATGTCATCTTAGCAAATGAATGTATTCATTTTTTGAATTGCAAAAGAAAAGGAAAAGATAGATATATGGCTGTTAAGCTTGACATGTCCAAAGCATATGACCGGGTGGAATGGGAATTCTTAGCTAGAGTGTGTCAAAAGATGGGTTTCTGTAATAAATTTTTGTCCTGGATTATGGTTTGTGTTGGGTCTGCTTCTTTTTCTTTCAAAATCCAGGGTCAAGTCTTAGGATCAGTAGTTCCTTCTCGAGGTTTGAGGCAAGGGGACCCACTGTCCCCTTATTTGTTTATTATCTTATCAGAAGCATTTTCTAATCTGTTGAAGCAAGCCAGTCTTAATCATAGTCTAGTGGGCATCAAAATTGGGCAATACTCTCCAGTGTTAACTCATTTGTTTTTTGCAGATGACACTATTCTTTTCTGTAAAGCTTCTATTGATCAAGCTGAAGTGTTAATGCATATTTTATCTGAGTATGGGATTTCATCTGGGCAGGTAGTCAATTTAGCTAAGTCTTCAGTTTTTTTCTCTAAGAATGTCCTTGATTCTGAGGTGTCTGATATCTGTGGGATCCTGAATGGTATTTCTTGTGTTTCCTCTGCAAAGCATCTGGGGCTTCCTTTGGGTTTAGGTAAATCTAAGAGAGAGACTTTCAGATATATAAATGAGAGTGTAAAAAAAAGAGTGCATCAGTGGAAACATAAATTTCTGAGTGAAGCAGGGAGAGAGCTTTTAGTGAAAACAGTGCTGAATGCATTACCTGTGTATGTGATGGGCTGTTTTAAATTACCTGTAACAGTTTGTTATGAGATGGCCAGGTCTTTTGCTTCTTTCTATTGGGGACAGACAGAGAAGGGGTTGGACAAGATTCATTGGGCAGCTTGGAATTTACTGGCAAAGGACAAAGAAGAGGGAGGGTTAGGCTTCAGAAACTTGGTGAATTTCAATAAGGCTCTAATCATGAAGCAGCTATGGAGACTAATTACAAAACCCAATCTGCTCCTTAGCAGGGTGTTAAAGGGTAAGTATTTCCATAACTCTCATTTATTCAAAGTGCAAAAAAGGAACAATGACTCATGGTTGTGGAAAGGGTGGATGGATGTGATGAAGGATTTTAAGCAGGGGGTTAGATTTAGGGTTGGTGATGGACAGAAAATTTCAGTTTGGGAGTCCCCATGGGTGCCTAAACTGAATAACTTCATACCTACTTGCATGTTTGAGAGAGATAAACAGAAACTTTCTGTAGTGAGTGAACTTATGCTGAGGGATAGGAAAGAATGGGATAAGGAGCTGATTTGCCAAACTTTTAATCCTTTTGAAGCTAAGGCAATTCTAGAAATTCATCTTAGTCACTTAGCAAATAAGGATACACTGATTTGGCATGGGGATAAAAAGGGAATGTTTTCAGTTAGAGCTGCTTATGCTACATTACAGCAGCTAGAAGTAGATAGGTTGGGAAGGGTAGGAACAAGTAGTGGAGGAAATCAGAATAAGAGAATGTGGGAGCAGACATGGAAATTACCTCTTCAACCAAAACTTAGAAATTTCATGTGGAGAATGTACAATGGTTTCTTGAGTACCAATATTCAGTTACTGAAGAAAGGGATCAAAGTGGACTCAAGGTGCAGATTATGTGATGAGGGGCAGGAAGATAATGAGCATCTGTTTATCCAATGCTCTAAAGTGCAGATCTGCTGGAAGATGCTTGGGGTTGAATGGGAGGAGTTTCAAAAGGAAGGGATGAAGTTGCAAGACTGGTGGTGGACTGTAACAAATGCACAGAAAAGTAAAACACTGAGAGATAGAATTACCATTTCTGTTTGCTTGCTCTGGAGGGTATGGAAAGCAAGAAATAATCTGGTTTTTAGAGGAACACCATTTGAGGAAAGAGAAGTAGTAACTAGGGCCAAACAGGACTGGTTGGAAAGCTTGGGTGAGCACGTGGAGGGTGCTAGTAGACATGTTTTGCAGGATACTGAACCACAGTTAGAAGATTTTTCCAAGGGGGTAGGACTAGTGATGTTCACTGTCAGTGCCCTAACTTCTTCTGTTGGGAAGGTAGGAATTGGAGGAGTGGCAAGCCTTTGTGACAAGGAAGTTTTTGCAGGACAAGAGATGTTTGAGTGGGCTGCAAATGAAGAAGAAGCTTGGTTATTGGCAGTGAGATGGCAATTGGAGAAGGCTGAGGCAGAAGGTTGGGACAAGCTGCACTGTTTTATCAATTCAAAAGGGATAGTTTCAAAACTGAATGATTTGTTTAATTTTCCTTCTTCAATTTGTAATGTTGCTGCTGATATTTATAGGATTAAATCTCGTTTTTCTGTTTGTAATTTTTGTTTTGGACCTTTGTGTTCTAGGAGTAATAGGTTAGCCATGTTGGCTTTGGAGGGAAACAAGTGATTTGTTGTTCCCGTGGACTTGTAATCAGTTGATTACCCGTTTGTATATTTTGAGGTTTAATTATATTTGTTTTCTGGAAAAAAAAAAGACAAATTGGTCCACATAATATTTACTAGTATTATTTATATTGTTCAATGATAAGCTCCAATCAGGTATCAAATTGATCTGGGCTAACCTAATATGGTTGTCATGTTAACAACCCAACAAAAGCTTGTTCGAGCTCGTTCGTGTTCAACAAAAGCTCATTCATTTGTTAGTTGAGCTAAGTTCAAACAAAAAATTAGGCTCGTTTAATAATCGAACGAATACGAGCTCGTTCGCGAACGTTTGATAATTTGCGAATATTAATTTAATGTAATTTTATTTTATTTTATATATATTTACATAATATTTTCAATAAAAATCCAAAATACAAAAATATTTTTATTTGATTTCATCGAGTTCTAACGAACAAATTTTGAGTTAATCAAACATATTTAAAATGTTTATATCCTAAATTATACAAGACGAACTAACTCGAACTTTGACGAACAATTAAACGAACGAGCTCGAACACAATTTTTTGCTCGAAAAATAAATGAACGAACAAGAACACTGTTCGAACGTAATCAAACATGAGCTCGAACAACTCAAGTTCGGCTCGTTCAGTTCGATTATAACGCTATCTAATCCACAATATTCAAGTGATTTTTTTATTTTCATGTAGTTTATATATCTTACTTTTTGTGTGAGAGAGAATTTAATGCATATCTGAAATCAAATGAACTAAAATCCGGCGTGTGTTGGGAACTTAGGACCAAATTGTAGTAATAGAAGTTTAAGAGGTGTATTCGTTTGGAATTTCGAGTGACATCTAGAAATTTTTTTAGATCTGAGATTTTTTACGATTTTCAAATTTTTGGGGAATGGGATTTTCAAATCCTGTGAAATCTTAAGTTTGGAAATGGGATTTGAAGTGAATTTCGTATATGTTTTATTCTTTAGAAATCCCACAAATCTTAAAAAGACTTATAAATCATAATCTCAAATAAGTTATATAGCTTAAGATTTTGTAAGACTTTTTTAAATTCCAAAGGAATACCTCAAAACTTTTAAAAGTTTCGAGAAGTCTTAATTGAATACAGTAGGATTTTCAAAGTATGTAAAATTCTTTAGAAATCTCAATTGAATACACAAAAATTGCACAATTTTAAAGTGCAAGTTTCAATAACTTATTCATATAGCCTGAGTAGGAGCTCGAGCTCAATCACTTAACGTGTCAGTAATTGAGCTCGAAATTGATTTATTTATTAATATTAATGATTCAAGTTCGAGCCTCAACGAGTTGAACTCGTGCTTTAGCAAGTAGAACTATAAAAATTTATATTAAAAATTATTTTTTCTAGCTTTAATGTGTGAAGTTGAGCTCGACTCATTTGATAAATAAGTCAAGTTGAGCTCACGAGCGGCTCGTGTCATTTAATAGCTCTTAGGATGATTATGAAAATGAATGATAGAGATCCTTAAATGGGCTGATGGGCATAGGGGTGTGCAAAATTCAGTTAAAACTGAAAAAAAACTTAAAAATAAATTACTTTCGATTTAATTTTATTATGTAACTATGTCTTTTTGTAATTCATTTTCAAAATTGTTGTTATTTTACCTCAGTTTATTGGTCTGTGTTTTGATTTTTAATAAAGTTGATTAATTGAAACAACCAAACTTCATAAAATATATTATTATTTTTATAAATTTATGTACATATTATTTTAGTATAAAAATATAAATATTGTGTAATTTTTTTTAAAATAATTATATACATATATATTATAATTATAATATATTTATGTAATGTTTTTTTTAAAAAAAAATAGGATTTTAATATAAAGATAAACTCTAAAAATCACCTAACCAATCTGAAAGACTCCAAGCCCAATCAAAGACTTAAAACATA